CCTTTGTATGTCTCTGGGTGCGCCCTTGTATTTTCGTGTCAATCAGTGTGTCTCTGAAACTATTCACACAGGTCCAACTGATTGGAAAAGGAAATGTAAGCCCTTCTTACGGTATATGACGTTATTGCAAGTCGCAGACCACGTAACTGTTGGGGAATAGGGAATAGACATACACTAGAGCTCTGTTGTTGTGAGATGGTTCTTCGGGTCCTTAAAATGTTGAAGTGGACAGAAAGATCTTGTATTGGGGGTCCCAAAAAATCAATGCTGACTTTTACCAAAATAACAGGCCCCAGTTGAAGCATACCAGTATTTTTACCCTAGTTCTTCTTCTTTTTCATGGTATTTAAATGACCCTGGCTAATGAATTCTAAGAAAAAAGTGTAAGTCATTGTTTCTGCTAAAATTGAAACTCAAATTTTTATCATTTAACCTTGTTGAATGAAATTCATAATCTAAAAAAATAAAATTGGGATAAGAATTAGAAAGAAGACTGGTTATGTGGTATCGATGTGCAGTGGTATTTTTAGTAGGGTACCGGGTTCCGCTGTACATGGTTTGCGACTTCACCCAAGGCGTGCTATGATGCTGTGTAGCTATTGCCAATGCTCAGTTTTGTCACAGGTGGCTTTTGCAGGTCAGCTGAGCTTGTGTTGTGCATCTTTCTCTTGTTCCGTCTCGCTTTGTACAATAGGTCTGTCCTTCAGTGCAACCGGGAATCCTCTTTGAGTTTGAGACTGAGATAATGCGTTTTGAGGATGCATGAGTTATTAAAAATCTAAGTAATCTTGTATGTGGGTGGTTGGAGGGTCCCACTGGTAGGTCCTTCTTCTTTATTCTGCATCTGCTGTTTCTGTCCTCCGGTCTTCCTTTTTTCCTAGCACTAAATAAACAACGTAAAAACCTGAAAAAAATTATTATTTTATAAATCAAATTGTGCCCTTAAAAAGCAAGTCATAAGAATATGAGCTGTTAAAAGAAAAAGAATCTTCACACTTTGCCATGCTTCATCCCCTACCAAGTCTCTGGTTCTGAAGGTGCACGTTGAAATATGTCGTACTTGCGGGTGTGGAGTAGACTAGAAACGAAAAGTGTACCCTTTGTCTCTGTCATTTACAACAGGAACGTGGGTGGTTGGCAGGTGCTCTGATGTGGTTTGCTTGCTTCTTTGCTACTTCTTTCCTATCAAACGTCTATCATCTTTATCTCCCCTCCTTCTTTTTTGTGTTTTTTACTATCTTGTAACACCTCCAATCTTCGGCACTTATATGACCTTATTGTGTTGCAAGTGCCGTATAACTCTTACTAAAACTGAAAACGACAGGGACATCAAGAAGGCTATTGCTTGGCTGTGGTTTGCTGTGTTTGCGACTGTAGTTTCTTGATGCTATCGTGCTTTCTGCTTCCTGAAATTTTCTTTAGAATTCTGTCGTTATTTTGCAGCTCTACAATGTTTCTTGTAGTTTGCTCCTGCTTTCCTATCAAATATCTATCATCCTTTTCTCCCCCCTTTCTGTGTTTGTTACTCTCTTGTAACACCTCTATTCTTCAGCACTTATAGGACCTTATGATGTTGCAAGTCAAGTGCCAAATACTTTTACTAAAACAACAACAAAAAAGTTTCATGATATTCTTGTACCTTGTGTACACGTTTGCAGCGCTGTTCATGTTTTCCGTGAAAATTATGACTTCATGTTTGTATGCAAATGAAATGTTTCCCTGGAAAAGCTGGAGTATAGATCCGCTACTTACAGTTCACTCAAACATACTTCCCCCCCCCCCCCCCCCCCCCCAATTAAAATGAATTAATTTTTTTAATGATTAAAAGAAATAATGTTATGAATGATAGGCCCAATAGTTGTATTGTGACTAAGTACCTCTCCATACTGTTGTGCTCATGAGCTGGGGGCTTCTGTGGTGAATGGGCTTTCGTTATTGCACTTTAAAGGTGGGTGGTTGGCGGGGGCTGTGGTATTTGTCCTATTGTCCTATTCAGCATCTGTCGTCATGATCTCTCCTCCTTTTCTTTGTACGTTACTGTCTAGTAACACCTCTAATCTTCGACACGTACATATGACCTATTTATGTTGCAAGTGACATAAAACTCTTACTAAAACAAAAACTCTTTCTAAAATTAAAGCACTCTAAAGATGTGAATTTCCAGCCATTGCAGCTCCCTGTGTTATTTTTATTGCTGTCTCGCTTTCATTTTAAAAGGCCTCTGAGAGGGCCGGAACTTTGTCCTTTTGTACTTTACTTTTATGTATGGGATTTGTGCAGATGGCCCTTGTTTCAAATCCCCAAAAGGGGCTTTTATTTAAATTGTGTTGTTGTGCAAGATTTCTTGATAATATATTCTTGTACTTAACTCGATCCGTTTAAAAGTGGATAATAAATTCAGTGCTGTTACTGTAGGCAAAGGTTAATCATTAAAGGGTCGTTTGTTGTCTCAGGCAAGGGTCAATAAAGTTCCGTTACTGTTGGCAAGGGTTTTATATATATATATAAAAATGTGCATCATATTTTTGGGGGCCACTTTTGATGGTGTGTTATGGTCATGTATTTGCATGAAATAGCGAAATGGGTACCCTGATTTTTATCTGGTTTGGTTGCAACGACCTGTTTAAGGCAGAATCTAGTGCTCTGATGCTTTATGCTCACATAGCTGCCAACCAGTATGTTAAAACGTACGGTATTTAGTTCATTGTAGAGGGTCTGCATTTGTAAGTGCATTTTTGTGTCAGAAAATACGTTGGGTACCGATGCTGAAGAAAAATTATAATTTTTTATCTTTCAAGTCCGGATTTGCAAAATGAGAACGAAGCCCATAATATCTTTACGAAATATTTCTGACATTATCGTTGCACATCTGCTTAGAATAGGTTGAATCTATTGAACGCAGAAGTGTGTGTGAAGAGTCTGGAAAGGAAGAAGGGGGGAGGGGGGTACTTTACTTTTACAGTGCCCACCATCTTGACCTGCCGCATGTATGAAGTCTGTATTTTGGTTTTTAAAAGTTGGCAGCTTTGTGCTTAGAGGGTGGTGACAATCGTAGTTGTAGGTTTCTTCTTTCTTTTTGTGTATTTTAGAGGCTTTGGGTATTTCTGCCAGTGGGGTGATGTCTGTTTGGTATTACTAGTACAAGTACAAGTAGTACATTTTTTTAATGTTTGGAATAGTTTTTGTATTACAGACATGTAGGTGTGTGTATGTTTGTGTGAAGAATTGTGTGTGTGTGCATGTGAGAACGTTTATGTGAGTGCAGTGCCTGTATACATTGTGTATGAGCATGCTTGGTTTTGAATTTTAATGAATTAAAAAAAAAATATTTTGTTTTTCAGAGGATTAGGATTGAAACAATATAGAATAAACATTACGGCACTACACCCAACTGGTCCCTAGCCTAGAGAGATGGCTTTACCTCCTCCCCCACCCCTAAGTTACCTTGACCCGCTGACAACCCATATAGCACTTCTTCTCCTGCTTGCCAGTTTCGCCACACTCTCACGTCTTTGTGCTTGGGTGCACTTTTCTGCGTTAAGCAAAATGTCAACAAACCCACACACAAATTGTACAGATGTTCTGGAAATTTCTGGGCTCTCTCTGTTACGCTTACACACACAATCACATTCATTTCTGTACTCATCTCTACTGCTTAAACTGTTTATTTATTTTGTTTTATTATAATTATTAAGTGACTTTATGCTTTTTCACTTTTTCCTTACTTTACATATAATACTCGAAAGTCAAGATTTCCTGGTGGAGTGGTTAGGTTGTTTGGCTTACGTGCAAAAGACTTGGGTTCTCTTCCCAAGTAGTGTCTACCCTTCACCTTTTTGCCTTTTTATCCCCTAGGTCTTGTATTTATTTTTGGCTGAGCCTGTCGGTTTGCGAACTTTGTATCGTAGTCATAGAATTAATAACGCAGTAACTTTTTAGACAGTTTTTAAAAATTGATTATGGTAGTTTAGAAGTTCTTAGCAGTGTTTGTGGTGTAATGGTAAGGCTCTTCATCATTGCAAGAAAAAGAAACAAGTTTGATTCCCAAGTGGGGAGGTTATTTGATAAATATGTGTACACGCATGTGTATCTCCGTTTGTCTGCTAAACTACGGTATTCTACTCAATCCGGGTTGGCTCTGACAGGCAAGGTTGAAGCAGCCTGCCTCCTAAATGATCTACATTGTGTCGATGGGAAAGTAAAATGTGAACAATCGGTCATTTCGAGGCTGTTGTGCTGTCATTATAGATTGGTTGTGACACTTTTACCAGGCTTGCCAAATGTCCTGCATTTCCCCGAGACTGTCCCAGATTCAGCTATCGGGAATATGAGAAGACATAGCATTCGCTTCACCAAAAACTAGTCCCACTTGATATAATTTTGGTCACTTGTACATAATCTAATGTTATAACTTTCTGTGTCCCAGATTGAGGGTTTGAAAAAGTTGGCAAGCCTGTTTTACTATTCCTCAATTGTTTCTGTCTATCAATCTTACTTTTTCTCTGCGCTAAAAGACCCAATAACGTGTCAATGTGCTTCTCTTTACTAAAGTTGAAACGTAGGTGTGGTAAGTGGTTGGAGGGCACCGCATGGTTCTACTTCTTTTTTTTTCTTTTTTCCCCATTACTTGTCTGTCTTACTTTTTCTTAGCTGTAAATGATAGTTATCGTATCGATGTGCTTCTCTTTGCTCTGGACATAGTCTGTCCTAACAAAGATGTATATTATATGTACGTATGTGATAGTTTACCCGCATTCTCTTACCAGCAAAAGGTCTTGTCAGTTTGTTGTTAGTGTTTGAGAACTTAATCAGCTGCTTTTACTGTAAGCTTTGCGAGAAGCCAAGAGTGTTTCTGAGTGGTCTTGGGTTTTCTGGAGTAATAGTGGTTGTAAAGCGCACCGAGCGTGCTTTCAAGCACGTATATGCGCTATTTAAATGCAATTTATTGTTATTGTTATAATAATAATAATTATTATTATTATTATTCTCTCCATCTCCAG